CCAAGTTCAACGTAAGAAAAATACTAGGACAGTTGTAAGTTATAAGTTAATATACATGAATTATTACTAGAAAAAAAATCTTCTAAACATGTGCAAGTGGGGTCTAGTTTTGTTCGTCTTGTTGTGTAGAACATATTGGTGCAGACGAAATTAAGAACGGATACATCATTCGAAAGTTATAGCATTTTAAAATAAAATATTTTTTTTTGATGACATCAGTGGCTATGAGAAAACGCGCTGGGAGGGGGAGACGTAGTCTGATAGTTCGCTACATCTAAATCTGAGTGAACGATCGCCCGGATGGAATTGGCTTCTCTACCTAGCCTAGCCGGCTTGCCTCCGCCCTTAAGCCTTGGTTGGACGTAGTCAGATTCACTTTAATCCATATGTGTTAGGTGGATTGGGGTGGAATTTAGTTTAAGTTCCACTCCAATCTACCCCAACACATGTGAATTGATGTAAATCCAATTATATCTAAACAAGGCATGCATCAACAAGATCTTTTCCAAGCATGCAAGAGTTTCTAAACTTGAATCCACATACATCACCAGAGAAGAGCTCAAATATCAAGCACCTATAGTGTAGGAAATGTGGACCTCAATGATCAATACATACTTAGAATCATATCGCTTATGTTTTCTAATGTAAGTCTTGCATCCTTGCGAGTCTTGTGAAGAAGGATAAAGTTAGACCTCGCGATGTTTTTTTGTTTGAAAGATTTGCAGAAGCACTGCACTGTCATTTAAGAAGGAGAGAAAGCGTATTAACAAAAGAAGATATATAGAAACACACAGTACGTGTCACTGTCCACCACTCTCCACCGCCTTTGTTGAAGAATGAAGACAGGATGCAGTAGTGTACGCGAGTTGCTGCCCAATGCATCAGGGGCAGGCCAGCCGTACCGTAAGTCCGTAACCGTACGTGCACGAGGCAGAGTACATATATGGAAAAACCCTTTTGCAGCTGGAGCACGCGCGTGACGCGGACGACGCGCATGTGTGTGGTACTGATTTCCAGTCAATCGATGGATGGACGGACGCGCGTGGTGGGACGATCCGGCCGGCCGGAGATTCGGGTTGGACGGCAAGCCGCCAAGGCAAAGCCATGCACGACGCATCGTCGTCTCCGGCCAATAATGTCGATCGAAAGTGTCGCTGCGCCCAGGCGGGCAGGCGCCAGGCGCAGTAGGACATAGGAGTAGTACTCGTTTCGTTTTTGTCCCAGGGCTTTGATGAACAACGCATCGGCTGGAGCCTGCAGCTAGCGGCAGAGGACGGACGCGCATGTGTGGCAGCGGCAGGCGCAGATCTCTTTCCCGAGCCTTTTGCTTATGCATGCAAAGGCTGCAGATCGACGCAGCAGGGGCAAGCCTAGCTAGGAGAAAGTTGGCAGCGGAAAGACATGGATGCTTCATCACGTACAGATCGCTATCGACTCTCGTCGTCGTCGTCGCCGCCGGCCCGTCGTTCGTCGTTCGTACAGATATCCTGGTAAAACTGCGGGAGCCAGGGCCTAACGTGACTCGTGACTCGTGACATGCACAGAGACAGAGATAGTAGGTCAATAGTTTTATCTCGTGCAGCGGCATGCGCAGCGGCATGTAGTGGAGCCCCATAGCCCATGCATGACTACGCTAGCCAGCAGACACACCACCGCGCAGCGAATTCCTACTACACGCCGGCAGATCGAGCAGCAAGCGGTGTCGGGTCAGCGTGTCGTGAAACTATGTGAGAATCCAGGAACAGTGCTAGCTGATGGGGAACTAAAGCTGCCGCGCGCCACTGAATCGCTGGACGCTGGACGCTTTGCTTTTTTACCAAACAAGGGGGGAGAAACAGAAGCAGAAGCTAGCTAGCGCGACGCGTCGGCTAGCGCCTCTGCTGCGGCCGCAGCGCCGTGTGAATCGTCGCTGCTCGTCGCTCGCAGCGGCGGCAGCAGCAGCTGCGGCCCTGCGGGCGACCGGGCAATCCAGGCAGGCGACGGCGACGCCTTTCTCTTCTGTCTCGGCTTTCCACGAGGCCGGTCGGGGCGGACCGGCCGGCGGACACGGGACACACACAACAGTTTGGGGTTTGGGCTCAGGGAGAAACTACTCATCACAGGGAAAAAGGACGCCGGCCGTGTCGAAACTTGGCTTGGGCAAGAGGACGAAGTGGTAGGTCGCTCGCTCGGTATCGCACTCGATCGCGCTCGGGAACAAGGGAACGAACGCACGTCACGTACGCCGCCCGCCACCAGCGCGGCTCAGCGACTTGTCCTCGACGGCATTGCGGTTTGTCAGCAGACACGACACGCCGGATTCTGTTTCCGGAAACGGACAGAGAAGAGAAGATACGGCCTTTGACGTGTGTTGTATGTTAGGATAATAATGTGTGCGCGCGCTTTCTTGTGAATTTGAGTTCATCACCTGACTCAACTTCAGGCCATCACTAAATTTGGAAACAGATCATGTCGTTTACTTTTCATGATCACTTGCAAAACTTTGACCAAAGCTTTTTCCAGAACTATTTTTCTTCACTTGTCCTAAAAAGCAGGTGCATGAAATCTGCCTTTTTATTCAGGCGACGTGGTGGTCCTTTGATCTGTCTTTTCTTTGTGTGAATGTAGATCCATTAGATCTTCATCTGATGGTTCACAGCCGTTGGCTGAAGAGATGCTATTTTTCAGGCACCTGGAAAATAGCAAATCCCATTTTTCTTTGCTGAACCCGGTATTCAGAACAACGAAAAAAAATATATATGGTGGTTATTACTATGCTCAAAAAATAAAATGGGATCTAAAAGCATATCTTTAGATGCGCATGCTAATTCCAGCCATCTTTGAAGATGCATTCATAGAGACAGTTGGTTTTGGAGTTGTCTCTATAGATACAGCTTTAGAGGCAGCTTGCCTCACCGACCACTATAGATGCGGCTCCTGCTTGAGCCGCCTTTGTCCAAAAAAGGTTCGTTGCTAAAAATTATTTCTGTAGCAGTGCATTCTTACCTTTTTAGTGCCAAGGTTGATAAGATATGCTTTCTGAGCGACATCAGCATGACTTAAAACCACTCGTGCTCCTGGACAAGTTGGGGTTGTCGTGGAGTGATCGTGAAGCGCCATGGTCGTGAGGAGGTGATTACTGGGTTCCTCAAGCCAGCTTCGGATGGTGGGCTATATGGAGATTTTTGCTGCTTAGAAGTGTCGCTTTTAGTTACTACTAGTGTTGATTTACAGTACTATAACTTTCTCTCTTAGTGCTTAGCTGGATTTGGTAAAAAATATTTTTTAACATAATTACATGACTGTGAATAATCTTGCAAGGAATGTGTTGGTCTCTGGGTAAGCCTGGCCTTACAAAAGTTCGTGTGTTGTAATGTTCCCTTTCTCTGAATGAAACACCTGCTCTGCCACACACGAAAAAAACTATATTCAAGACCGATCAAGCTTAATCAGCATATATTATAAGATTATTTCCATTTGCCCAATCATACTCCTACTCCATTTACCCAATCATACTGTATGGGACCATTAGCTAGCATATATATATGCGATTCATATGTCAAAATTCTATATTATCGCACTATATTTAGAAACCAATGTAAAAAATGTCTATCTTTGAAGCCGGCTATTTCCCGTACGCAATGAACGGACTGATTGGTGTTTCTGTTGAAAAGGAGAAAATCAAATCGGCAGGCAAGAAAAACATGAACGAACCAAGGAGAAAAAACCACCACTAAACAAGGCTATTCTTAGGTAAATCCATATGTAGCTTTTTTTTGTTTGTTTCTTCCATGTTCAGCAAAACTCATTCATCTTGTAGTAATAATAATGACTTCCGTACAAGCCGCAGACTTTACAGTTGTAGGAGAGTACATACTAGTCACTTCAATTTCCGGAAATTACCTGTACGTATACTGGCTTATACTGTACCTTCCTATACTACACAGAACAATGTACGGAGCACTCAGCAGACGCTCTTTGTAGGAATATACAGTGCACATTCTTACCCAATCGATCGCCACAAACATTTCCCTGACTCCCTGTTCGGTATTCGGTAACAGTGGCCAGGACACTGGCTGGTCCTGAACCTGCAGAGACTTTGCATGCATCTCCCTGGCTCTTCTGCTTCTCTCCCTCCCTCTCTCTTCACGTGGACAAATTAAATCCTTGAGCCTTCACCATTTGTTCTGTAGCATTTAGCTACTTCCAAATGTTCCCTAGCAAAACTTCCGATGTACGTGCCTGCTACACAGTCTCTTATATTCATACGTACTACTAGTACTACAGCACGACTGTACGAGAAAGAGACGCAGGCGGCAGGGACAAGAAAGTCATCAAGCAGCTGTATTAGGCAAGCAATAACCATGCATACTAGGCAGTAGGCACTGGGATGCGTGCTTTGGTCGATCTGCTTGGCCTAGCTCTTCCTGCGCGCGCGCTGTCTTGATCGACCTAGCAAAGCCACCATCAATGCCTGTGCTTCTGCATTCTGCTCGGCCCCGCCCCCGGTCCCTTTCGACTTTGAAAGCCGCGCGACCCAGAGAAGAAACCAACATGAAATATAGCCACTGCACCACTGCACATCATCATGCAACGAGAAAAGGCATATCCAGAAGAGCACGAGACAACAAGCAGTAAACGTCCAAAGCATCCTGCTTAGATGCTGGTCTCTGGCCCGGCCTCCACATGATGAGCTTGATCGACATCAGGGGAGATCAGACCACCCATCTCCAGCCAAATTTAAATAGTGTCTAGTAAGCACTTTGAAAAACACCACAAAAATTGTACGGAAATAACGAAAACCAACAAGTTGCATGCAGCTGTCAGCAGCATATGAACACGGAAATTAACGAAAACAAAACTAGATTAAAAGTTTACTAGATCTCCCTGATCGGCCCTCACTTAGCTTACCGTTCCATGCATGCGCGCGAAAGCAAGCCTTCACGTGCATGATCGTCTGTTTATTGGCTTCCTTCTTGCATTTTCTTCTTGTTGTCTTGTGTTGTTGTTCTTCATTCCCATCACTTCATCTGGGCCGGGTCCAGGGAGCCGATGTGGAGCCCAGGCGGCGCCATGGCGCCCCTGCCGACGCCGAGGAAGTCCCTTGTGCTCAGCTTGCCGTCGTCCACGCCCCCGAACCCTGCAGTAGTGCCGGAGAAGCCGCCGGTGCCGCTGCCATCACCAGCCAGGGAGTTCATGATGAGCTGATGGAAGTGTGCCTCGTGAGACGTCGTCCCTTCTCCTGCGGCCCTGCCAGTAGTAGTCCCCTGGCCGCTGGCGGCGCTGAAGCCCGTAGCACGGAGCAGCGCTCCGTTGTGGGAGGTGCTCGACATCGAGCCCATCTGAGCCGCCTTCATCAGGAGCGCCGTGGCCGAGTTCTGGGCCAGCCCGGCCGATGGAGATGAGTTGTACAGGGCAGGAAAGCCGCCGCTGAGGTGGCTTCCGAGGGACGGCATCAGGTTGTTGCCATGTTCTGCGCTTCCACTGCCGCCGGCGCCGCTAACGTTGAACTGGTCTTGGATGACAAGGCGAGCGTCCTGGCTGCCGGACGTGCCACCACCATTGTTGCCAGCTGAGAAGAACCCAAGGTTCAGGAGGTTGTTACCGTTGGCGACGGCGGCGTTGCTGCTGCCCGGCCCCGGCTGGTGGTGCTGCTCAGGGAGTTGCATCAGGCCATGGAAGGGCGCCTTGCCGTGGAGCAGAGGGCCCTGGCTGCCCTGGGAGCCGTCCTCGGAGAAATCCTGGGCGGCAGGAGGAGCGCCGCCGCCGAGGAAGTAAGATGACGAGGAGGCCGACGCCTGAGAACGGAAAATGGAGCTGGAGCCCGAAGAAGATGGCATGATGTGGTCAAACTGCGCAGCTGCTGCTGCTGAAGAGGACTGGCCGGCTTGGTCTGCAAAGCCATGCATCTGGGCGACGGTGCCGGAGAGCCCGAGGCTCATGCTGCCGGGGCCGGCGTAGAGGCCGGCGCCCAGGGACGGCATCTGCGCGCTCTCACGAGCCAGCGCGTCGCAGAAGGCGCGGTGGGTGATGAAGCTGTCCCTCCTGCATGCATGCATACATGGAAGAGTTAAAATCTAAAGAAATTACAACGAATATACATAATAATTAAGAGTAGAGTACATACAGGTTTAGCTTACCAAACTTTGCAATGATATCTTAGCTAGATTTCATAAAAATATTCAAGTCGTTTATGAATAAATAATAGAACATAACAACCAATATAAAATCAAATGCCAAGATAGGCGCTCGTTCAAATCAAAATTAGATGTTGTTTTAGGCTGTTTATCTGGGTTTGCAAATATATATGTTGTTTTTCTGTAGGCAAGTGGCAGCATTACGTGGACGCGGTTCAAAAAATACTTGTCCATGTTATATTAATTGCTTAAGTAATTGGCAATATGTAGGTATGACCTCCATCCTGAAATATAAGCTATATAAGCATTCAAAATTTGTCCCCAACTATAAGAGGTTCTCGATGAATATAACCCTCAAGCTCAGTTTCAAAAGATATCACTCACATGCATACCTACCATTGATGTCTATCACCAACACAAATATCTCTCCATAGTTAAGGTAGGGTTACATACGGGCATTTGATTTAAAATTTCTAGGATACCTTGTATTTTAAGACACAAAAGGAGTATATGGGAAGATTATGCAAAAAGAAAAACAAGACATTAATATTATCTTAATTCCATATGCATGATGCTAAAGCAACAAGTACTTCATTCGTCCTAAAATATAAGATATCCAAGCATTCAAATTTTGCCCCAAACTATAAGAAATTATATATAGGTGAAGTAACCCCAAACTCAATTCAAAAGGACAACATTATATTCATATGCATACCCACAATTAACATCTATCACCAACCTAAATATGGCAACCACAATATCTTCCTGATTAAGGGAGCCTTACATGCATCATTTGCTTTGCTTTCCGCATAATATGTCCTAGAACTCTTAAGGTACATTATATTTCAAGACAAAGGTAGTTTCAGACTAAAGTGTATTAGGGCATTATAGAAGTTCCGGACTAAAGAGTACATACTCTGTTTGGCCTAAAAAACGTATCTTTTAGGCCAATATTCAATCCACAATCAAAAAAATACAAACACCAATATCTATATATGACATTATTTAATTTGAAAACATGTAAACTATTATGTATATTCATATTTAAAAAACTTGTAAAGTCTCTTAAATTTGAAGGATTTTAAAAATATCTTCTAGGAAAAATAGCTGTCAAAGATATGCATTAAGTCAAGTGTGTCGGATTTTTTTTACCAGAGTTAGTAGTAACCAGCAATTTATCAGCACAACCTTTTTTAATTAAAGATTGCAAACAAAATCATGAGCGAATAAACCATCTACCCCATTTTTTCTAGCAGGAAGTCTACTTATTTATGGAGTGACAATTTTTCAAGTGGCAGGAAGTACTTATTTAAGGAGCAGTAATTTTTAATAATGTACTTTATGTACTGTGCTACCACATTTAATTAGTGAAGCAAAATGCTATCTGTATATTCTTAAATGTACTGAATGGAGTAATATAAATAATTACTGGAGCAATGCTGTAGGTAGAATGAGCACAAAACCCTGCCAGCATAACATTTGACTGGCCGTGCAAACTAACATCATCCTTGATTTTCACAGAAACGAATCAAGAAATCAGCACAAGATTTTCCCGATAACGACAGAGAAATCAGCCAGTGACTCTGATGCAGCTATGCACTACACTACAGCACATACCAAGAAACGTACGCATACTGTACGTATGACAGATGCACACCAGCTGTAGTACAGAAAATACAGGTCGGAGCCGCCGGACGTACGGGTCGGAACCAGCCGGCACCGCGGTCCGCGGCAGAGCGCGTGCCAAGCCGCCATGCATGCATGATGCATCTCGTGAACAGGTGGGGATGCAAACTTGCGGAGAGAGAGAGAGAGAGCGTGTGAGTTTGCAGTCGCGGGGCGTGGATTACGAGGTGAAAAGAGGAACTGCCGTTAAATGACCATGTCAGGAAGAGTGCTGCGCGCATATCTCCAGTCCCCTCCCGACAAGAGAAGCTCACGTGGGAGCAGCTCCTCCTCCTCCAGTCCTCCTGAACCTCGCTTTCTAGCTCTCAGGCTCTCTCTCTCTCTCTGTCCAGCAGCTAGCCCCGCGAAGGAATCCTAAACCAGCAAGCTACACACACCACAACACCACAGCATCTTTGCTACTGACAGCCCAAACCCTAACGCATCACATCATCGACCGCCTCTCATCATGGCACAATCATGCACGCAAAAAAGAATCCGTAAAGAAATGGAGGACAGAAACGGCAAGCAAAAAGCTATAGAGAATCGATCCAATTCCAAGCAGCTCATGACGGCCGGGCCGGCACCGGCGGTCGGGAACGGAGCGGCCGGTCGGAGGAAAAAGAGGAAACGAGAAACAACGGACCTGGAGAAGAGGGTGCCGCAGTCGCAGCGGTACTCGCGGGTGCCGCAGGTCTTGGAGTGCGCCTTCCAGTCGGACTGCACGGCGTAGCGCTTGTTGCACTTGTCACACTTCCACTTCTTCTCGCCGTGCTTGCGGCAGTAGTGCTTCTTGATCCCCGTGAGGTCGCCCAGCGCCCGGGACGGGTCGTGGTGCACGCACGTCGGCTCCGGGCACAGGTACACGCGCCGCCGCTGCGCCTGCAGCAGGTTCTTCTGCTTCAGCTTCCACGGCAGGTTGTGCCCGCGCCGGTGCAGCTGCAGGTTCTGCTCCCGCTGGAACCCCTTTTGCACCCTCGCACACGAACCGGTTCGTCGCCAGAAGCGTCCGCGGCGACAGCGCGATCACCTCCGCGTCAGGATCTGTATGTATGCGCAAGGCGACGATCGGTCGATCGATGGTTAGACAACAATAAGAAATATAATCATCTCGTCGATCGGATCGATCGTTCAACAAATAACAAGACCATATATATAATCAAGTGGTATATATATAGCTAGGGCCAGAGGACTTGCTTGGATTGCCTGGCTGGTTCCTCTTCTTCTTGGGCGGCGGCGCCGCAGCGCCGGGAGCGGCTGTGGAGTTTTGCTGCAGAGAGGAGGAGCCAGCCTGTGGCTGCATCTGCGTGTCGCCGAGCCCAAAGAAGGGCGCGGACGAGGCGGCCGCCATCGGAACGAAGGAAAGAAAACACGGACCGGCCGCCGCAGCTCCTTTGGCGCACTCGGTCAATCAGCAGGCGGAGGCTGCTGCGTGACTGGCAGCTACCTCCGTCCGTCGTTGGACTCTACTAGCTCTCAGGTGACCGACGACCCGTCTGAGTCAGAGAGAGGCGACGACATGGCAGGCGGCACCGTGTATCTATCTGCCTGGATTCCGGCGTCTTGCGGGAGATCTGGTGATCTAAAGGACAAAGAGGAGCAAGAAAAGAAAACCATAGAAGAGAACAGGGTGTGAGAAAGAGATAATGAATATGACGACCAAGATTTAGCAGTGTAGCAAAGCAAGCAAGGATGGATGGATGGATAAATCTGTGCGTATGTGCGCCACAACAGGCCACACCGAACCAAATAGATCGACCACCCATCATATATCCATCCCTTCCCCGTGCAAGCAAACAAAGCAAGGGAGAAGACAAACAGGTTGCACTCACACACGCACACGCCCGCAAGAAACCAAGAAATCAAACCCGTGCCAAAGCACTCAGAGATCAGAAGCGGCTGGAGACGAAATGGCCCAAACGAGAAACAGATAAAGAAGAGAGGGAGAGAGATTGGGGAAAGGCAAATATGCAATAGTCTAGTAGCGCTTCGAATCGGAGCAGATGGCTCTCCGTCGTCCGCAACAAACGCTCCAAAACAACGAGAGAATAATCGGGCACCGGCAGGATTCGATTAAAATAGCGCAACCAATATGATGAACACCGAGAAAACACCGAGGAATTTGCACGAGAATCGAACGAAACGAAGCTAGCAAACAGGAGGAACAGGCGAGCCCTACCGCTTGTTGCTTTCCTCCGCCGCGGCTCCCGAGTCTAGGATATCTCCCGGCCCGGCTGCAGCAATAGGAGAGTGGTGGGAGTGGTTGCGCAGCGGCAGCGCTGCCTGCCTCCCTAATATATGCACGGGGCCTGGGCGAGACAGCGACAGGCAGGTGGAGTGGTCGCACGGCACACGCGGCGCGTGGGGGCCACTGGGGCCCACAGGTCTCTCGCACCGAGTGATGCAAGCGTAGACCGATCAGGGGGCGCTCGTTATCATTCTCATTCTCCCCAGCCGAGACCCCGACGACGGCGTGCGTACAATGTACACAGCACGACCGTCTACAAACATTTCCCCGACTCCCCGTGGATAACAGTAGCAGAGCACGCAGCAAACACCAGGCCGCGCGCCTGGCTGGTCCTCTCTCTCTCTGGCTGGTCCTCTCTCCCTCTCTCTCTCTCTCTCTCTTCACATGGACTATCCTTCAGACCGTCACCCTTTGTTCTGTACCATTTAGCTCCTCCCAAATGTTCCTTAGCAAATCTTTCGATGTGCCTCACATGTATACGATAGATCCTTCCCTTATATAGTTTATACGCCGCGTTTGGTAACGCTCCACGAGCACAGCTCCACGACTCTGGTAACGAATGAAACACTCACCCGTTGAACCGTTACGCAAGTAAAGCTACAGAAAATAAACGCACTAAGAGAAGCACGAATAGAGAGCAGGAGCAAAAAACGGAAGCTTTGCTTAGCTCCCTCTAACTCTCGTGGGCTCAGCGTGCGCATTAGCTAAGCACAGAGTCCTTCCCTTATATAGCTTACGTCGCGTTTGGTAACGTTCCACGAGCTAGCTCCACGACTCTGGTAACGAAACGCTCTCCCGTTGAACCGTTGCGCAAGTAAAGCTCTAGAAAATAAACGCACTAAGAGAAGCACGAATAGGGAGCAGGAGCCAAAAACGGAAGCTTGGCTTAGCTCCCTCTGACTCCCGTGGGCTCAGCGTGCGCATTAGCTAATAAGCATGGAGTCCTTCCCTTATATAGTTACGCCGCGTTTGGTAACGCTCCACAAGCATAGCTCCACGACTCCGGTAACGAAACGCTCTCCCGTTGAACCGTTGCGCAAGTAAAGCTCCAGAAAATAAACGCACTAAGAGAAGCATGAATAGGGAGCAGGAGCCAAAAACGGAAACTTCGCTTAGCTCGCTCTAACTCCCGTGGGCTCAGCGTGCGCATTAGCTAAGCATGGAGTCCTTCCCTTATATAGTTACGCCGCGTTTGGTAACGCTCCACGACTCCAGTAACAAAATGCTCTCCTGTTGAACCGTTGCGCAAGTAAAGCTCTAGAAAATAAACGCACTAAGAGAAGTAAGAATAGGGAGCAGGAGCCAAAAAGCGAAGCTTTGTTTAGCTCCGTCTCACTCCAGTGGGCTCAACGTGCGGATTATAGCTAAGCACGGAGTCCTTCCCTTATATACATACGCCGCGCTTGGTAATGCTCCACGAGCACAACTCCATGACTCCGGTAACGAAATGCTCTCCCGTTGAACCGTCGCGCAAGTAAAGCTTCAGAAAATAAACGCACTAAGAGAAGCACGAATAGGGAGCATGAGCCAAAAAGGGAAGCTTTGCTTAGCTCCCTCTCACTCCCGTGGGCTCAGCGTGCGCATTAGCTAAGCACAGAGCGGGGCACATCAGCGCATCATAGGACAAAGAATATAGCCTTCCACGACTTTACATTTATGTCGTAGAAACTGAAAATTATGCCATGTTTCACAATTAACGACGCACACACGACAAAAATGCATTCACGGCTCATTATTCCCCGTAGCTAAAGGTGTTGTGCGACAAAACTGATATTCTCATCTTAATTATATCCTTCAGGCCTTCATCCTTTGTTTTGTAGCATTTAGCTACTTCGAAATGTTCCCTAGCAAAACTTTCGACGTGCCTCATATATATAAGATAAATCCTTCCCTTATATAGTTACGCCACGTTTAGTAATGCTCCACGAGAAGCTCCACGACTTCGGTAATAAAACACTCTACTGTTGAACAGTTGCGCAAGTAAAGCTCCAGAAAATAAACGCACTAAGAGGAGCACGAACAGGGAGCAGGAGCCAAAAAAGAAAGCTTTCCTTAGCTCCACAGTCAAACTTCGGTCGCACTGGTGGGCTCGAAGTAAAGATCATCAAGATCACAAGACAACAAATACAACCTTCTATGGCGTTACATTTAAGTCGTAGAAACTGAAAATTATGCCATGTTTCATAATTTACGACACACACACGACAAAGATCCCATTCATCGCCTATTATTCTCTATAGCTTTAAGGTGTTCTGTGATAAAATTAATATTCTCATCTTAATTTCACGTGGACTATATCCTTCAGGTCTTCACCCTTTGTTCTGTAGCATTTAGCTACCTCCAAATGTTCGCTACCAAAACTTTCGATGTGCCTCATATGTATACGACAAATCCTTCCCATATATATAGTTATGCTACGTTTGGTAACACTCCACGAGAAGCTCCACGACTCTGGTAACGAAACGCTCTCCCATTGAACCGTTGTGCAAGTAAAGCACAAAAAAATAAACGCATTAAGAGGAGCACGAAACAGGGAGTAGGAGCCAAAAAAAGGAAGGTTTGCTTAGCTCCTTATCGCTTGGTCGCTCCCATGGGCTCAGCGTGCGCATCAGCTAAGCATGGAGTGGGGCACATCAGCGCATCAAGGACAACAAATATAGCCTTCTATGGCGTTACATTTAGTCGTAGAAACTGAAAATTATGCCATGTTTCACAATTTACGATGCACACACACGACAAAAATCCCATTCATCGCCTATTATTCCTAGTCCCGGCCCTGGGTGGGCGGGGGTGGGACCCCAAGTATGTAAACTGTAGGTATAGTGCTGTCTGGCCCATAGGAAAAGCAAGGAGCCCAGCATAGGCACGTACGTGATTTGCCGATTTGCTTCCATCGATTTGGCTTCCGCGTCCGTGACTCCGCGTTTCGCCCTTCGCCCCTTCCGCCGTGCGTCCGCTGAAGAATTATTTGAGTCTCGTAATGTCCCGAGAAAGATTAAATGGTTTGGCAACTTTATGCATAGAGAAGAAATTATTAGATGAAATTGATATTGATGCCATCATCAATGACTTCGCATCAGTAAATGTCAGAAGAAAATTTTAAGGTAAGATGTATAACTTGTTTGATAACAATGTTTTTTTGTATGCATTATACTTATTGGAAACATCATTATATTATTAGAGTTTTATTAAAGGGCTCATTTTTATAGCTTCGCTCTAGGCCTGTAAATTGACATGACCGGGCCTGATTATTCCCCCTAGCTTTAAGGTGTTCTGCGATAAAATTAATATTCTCATCTTAATTTCACGTGGACTGTATCCTTGACCCTTTGTTCTGTAGCATTTAGCTACCTTTTTCTAACCAAAGTAGCCAGAGCCAAAAAGAACTGCTTGATCAGAATAGTTGAAGCAGTTTTGGATGAAGACAGAGCTCTACCAAACGGAGTATGTTCATGTGTGTGTGAGACAGTGAGAGAGGGCTGTAGGGAGCTAGTCAAGGACAACAAAGTCAAGCAGTAGGCAAAGCAACGACCATATTTTTGTTTGATGAAATAGGAGGGATTGGAAACCCTACTGAAATTTATTAAAAACAAAACTGTATAAGCTGTACAAGTCCAAGTTCAAGAAACAAAAAAGTCAAGAAGAAAATAGCCAAGATTACTCAAAGCCTTCTATCCATTGATCTTTAAATGGGTGATGAATTGTTTTTGCTCTTAGAATAACTAGAGCAAACTCCTTCAAAAATGATTTGCATCTCTGAACTGAATGAGAGATATTCTTAAAGATGATGTCATTTCGCATAATCCAAATCCCCAACTCATTGTGATAATGATTTGCATGAAAAAGGGTAATCTGAGCTGATCCCTTATACTTTCCAAAATGATCAGAATGTCGTTGGTGTTAGGCAAAATGACATCTAAACTGAACCAGCAGGCCATAGCAAACGGACAATGAAACAGAAGATGATCCAGATCTTCTTCAACATTTACAGTGCAAAAGACACAGTTATAATAGGAAAGATGCATGTTCGTTCCTTCGTCTGAGCAGTGCCCTGGTGCTCAACCTGTCCTTTAGGACTAACAAAAAAAGAATTTTCTTTTGTTTTGATAGGTTGATTTCCATAGCCATTTGTAAACTCTATGCACATTAGGATGACCAATCAGATGCTTGTAGGCCATGCTGGAGGAAAAGGTAGGTGAATCCCATATATAGGACCAAACATCATTAGCCTGACTTAGCCGCAAATTCTGAAGAATAACCGACAGCTCCTAAAACTGAGCATAGGCTTCATTAGAAAGTAGCAAATGAAATAAATTCTGGAGAAGTGTAGTAGAAGGTGCCACATTCAAATATATGTACTGAGTCTTGCCACATTCAACAACCATATTATGCACTGATGATGCGTGCTTCGGTAGATTTTGGTTGGTGTAGCTCCTCCTGTGCTGCCTTGAACTCCTGGACCTAGCAAAGACCACAATCATTGCCTATATATGCTTCTGCATTCCGCACCGCCAGCCCCTTTCAGCTTTGAAAGGAGCACGACCCAGAGAAGAACCCAACATGAAATACGACGACCACCACATCATCATGCAACAACAACACCACAGCCACTACAGGAAACAGGTCCTTTGCCTACAACGGTAAAGCGCGATCGGCAAAAGCGGGTTTCTGTCGGCAAAAACTTTGCTTGACCGTTTCTCCACGTGGTACATCGGCAAAAGATCTGTCGGCAAAGAATTAGTCGGCAATGACTTCTTTGCCGACACCCACGTCATCAAGTCGTCGAAGAAAGCCTTTGCCGACAACGACCACCATACCGATCGACAAACGGCGACGGCGCCGTCAACCGATCGAGAGGCTTTGCTTGCATTACGACCTACGGTTTGTCGGCAAAGACTTTGCTTAATCACGCTGCGATGGTTGTCGGCAAAGCCTTTTGCCGACAAACGGTCGGTCGTATTGTCGGCAAAGCTTTAATCATTTTGCCGACCGCCTGTAATCCTGTCGGCAAAGTCGGAATCAAGTGGTCGAAAACCCGACTTTGCCGATGACTTTCTGTCGGCAAAGCCGGGAACCAATTTTTTTCAATTTTTTTCCTCATTTCAGGTTGCATTTTAACCACATTTAAGCCACATATTGCATACACATCACATTTGAACACAGTAATTCACAATAATATCACCGAAACAGCGCATTTAACAATAAAATTCAGTTTTCACATGAATCCATACATAAAGGTCCCGAAATACAACGATACATGTCCAAAACGAATCCATACAAGTCCAACATGCACATAACATGTCCAATGTGCCACACGTTCATCGATGAAGGTCCAAAAGCGAGAAGCAAAGATACCTAGCTCTGTGCGTCGTCCCCAGGGGTCCCAGAGCCACCACCGTGCTCATACAGACGCCAACCCGACTGCGAAGACGTACCGTAGTTCCACCTGTTCTGCGGCGCTGTGACGCTTGCCGGCCCGGAGTGCCCCTGCTGCGTCGGGAAAGGCGGCCACGAGGAGTACCCCTGCGACGGTGGAGGGTACATGTACGGCTGCGTGGGGTAGGTCGGGTAAGCTTGGTAGGGTGGAGAAGGACCCAGTGGAGGGCTAGCACCTGGAGTCGGGTTCGAACCTGCCGACTGTGCCTGCACAAAAGCCAATTGATGTAATTAGTACCTGCATGATGGGCGTACCAGCTAAAGCAACAGACAAATATACTCACTGGAAAAGGTACAGGAGCAGGAGCAGGAGCAGACAGTGGAACTTCTGGTGGAGCGAAGAGCGAGGCAGGAGGCTCGTCCGTTCCCGGCATCTGGGACCGGAAGTAGCCGGTCAGGTCTGTCAGCTGGCGCTGGTAGTGCTGCGAAAGTGCCAGCATCTGCTGCTGATGTAGTGCCTCCTGCTGCTGACGTAGTGCCTCCTGCCTCGCTTCCTGGGCCTCTTGGTAGGCCTGCATTTGTGCGATCTGCTCCTGCAATATTACACCCACAAATGTTAAGGCAAGGTAGATCATGTGTGAAACGAGTGAACAACAAATGAAACGGCACTTACCTGAAATTGCGAGAACATCTGTGCGCTGCTCGGCTGCCGAGGCGCTATGGGGATGTCGGAGGAGCTACTGGAACCGCCTCGTCGAATCTCCCTCAGCGTGGGGGCAGACGACGGGTCGATGGCACTGTTGGCCATCATGTAACTGCCGTGCTGCTTCCCTGGGCCCAACCTCATCAGGAGGTCTGTGTCCAGAGGCTCGGTGGCGGGGTCCGACGTCTCCCCATGGCGCTGGCGAAACGCCCTGCGGTACGCGTCGATCTTGGGGTAGACGCTGCTGTTGGTGTACGCGTCCGGCCCGTCCTCCTCGTCGTAGACGTTGTCAGGCGCCGTCGCTCTGCCCTTGTGAGAAAGGGCGTACCCCATCATCTCGTTGCAGTCCTGCCCACCATGCGCCTGGGACTGGGATGAAAACACAAACATGGTTACAGGTAATGACGATTCAGTGTTAGAACTCAAATTTGAATAGAAGCATACCCATTTTTCAATGTCTTTGCGGAGGAGACCGGTTCCCCCGGTGGTGTGGTGCCCTTGCATCTGCATAGCCGGCCAGCCGCCGACGTTCTCTATGTTGCTCGTCGACGCCGTCCAGAACCTCGAGATCGCGACAATGGCCACCAAATCCTGGTACTTGTCACACCACTCCGGACACATCTGCAAGACATCAAGTATGTAACATGTAACAAGATGAATTGAATATTTCACGGATTGAATCAAAACGGATGTTTCCTTCTTAATTACACCGCACGCATCGCTCCTCGGTGAGGTCGGTCTCCCTCTGTTTGGAACATCTCCCGACTTGCGGCTTCTTCACCACCGGCCAAGCACGTTGGCGCGATGAGAAGTAATGACGCTTGAGGCGCGCCTCGTGGTACGAGTCCTTCAAACGTAATTTGCACACCGCCTCCACGAACTCGTGCCGCATCTTTGCTCTTTCCCTCCTCGCACGCGTGAAGAAGTCCGCGCACATAGACAACATGTATCAATTGTTTCAATAGCATCCAACAAATGTGTAGTATTGAGAAATACGGTGCAACAACACATTCTCACCCATAACTCCCTCTTGATCTTCGCCGCAAGGGTCTGCGCCGTTGGAGATGACGCTGTAGAAGTGCTCCCACTTCATGGGCGGCTTTTCCTCACCATTGTGGGTGACAAAGCCGGTAGTACTCCCTAATGAGCGGGCCTTGGATGCCATTGATATGGCGTGAACCGTCGGCGCCGCTCACAAACTTCCAACTCTTTGCAAGAGTCATTAACAATTGTTAGTCATTAACATGTCATATGAACAAGTATTGAAATGAATTATGGTTACTTACGCTGCGCTGCACGGGCTAATCACCGGCCGGCGGCGGGAGCGGTCGTGGTCCGGGAGTGGTGCGGCCCTCATGTTGGTAGGGCTTCCTCGAACTGAGGAAGCCCTGTCTCCGATCGTCGTGGCCCCGTCCTCGTCCTCCTCGTCCTCGTCCTCGTCCTCGTCCTCGTCGCCACCACCCGTACCACCGTCACCCGGTCCTCGCCTGGTCCCGGTCGTGGTCGTGGTCGTGGGCGCCCCCTCGGGTCTCCTAGAACTGCAGCCTCCTCGACAAGCGGCGTGCGAGGGGCTCCCCCCTTGGCGGCTCCTCCACCACCGCCGGTCCTCCTCCTCGTCGTGGCGTGGGCGAACAGGCCGAGCGGCTCTCCGTGGCGGCGGCTTTTTCCTTCCGCTTTGGCATTTTGTCGAGTGCTGCCGCAATGACAAAAGGGCAAAAAGTTAGCATAAATTAATGACAACTAGTAGTAAAAAACATAATTACAGGGATAACAATAAAAGAAATATAGCATTACGTGGTCTAGAAATTATCTCCACGAACGGCAATATGGTTGGTGCCGTTTAAGTCACCACTATCCTCGTCATCACTATCAATATTGTCGAGCTCGCATGATCGTCCTCATCATCATCATCTTTTGTTCTCAAGGATGCGTAATTCCTCATCGTCTGAACAACTCCATCGCGCTCCCTCTTGCCATTTCTCAAGGATGCGTAAGTCCTCGACATCCTGCAAGCGTCATCACCCTCGTCCTCATCGATGTCATTGTTTTCTTCCATGTCCATCAATGAGGAAATGTCTATTTCAAACTCCTTCTAGCCCCTCGGGTTGATAGAATTCATCGCCTTTGGGTCAAAGTTGTAATCATCATCGTTTGGGACACCCGCTTTCTGCGTGTGGCGATACTAAGTGCACAAGGCTCCAACCCTCAAGGTTCTTGTCTTTTTAGCACGCATACATGGGAGGTAATAAACTTGTGTGGCGTCTCGGTTAGCCACAATATAGACATCGTCTCCATTATATCTGGAATCTTGTCGAATTTCGACTTGCCCAATCGTAAGGTCTTTTCTTACGACATCAGGATCAAACCAATGGCATTTGAATACCACTGGATTAAAAGTTTTGGCACCCTTAAATTTGAGCTCGTATATCTCTTCGACTGTGCCATAATAGTCCTTGGCATCCGTTCGGCGTCATTAACTCCATTTGCACGTGGTTTTTAGGTTGGGGCGACTCTCCTCGTAGCTTCTTGTGCGAAAGCGATAGCCATTCACATCATAAACGTTGAATGACTTCACCTTACGGGAGAAGCCACCACCCACCTGTTTCAAATCATCACTCATTTCCGGATCCGTCTGGGCCTGCAAGGTTAGGACAGGTATAGATCGTTACATTACTCGCTCCTAGGAGCAAAGTGCAATCTCAAACTCGCCACGAGGTTACTTGGATGATACCTTTCTACAGAACCAGGAAATGAAATCGGGCTCGCCATGTCTAAGAATATGGTCTTCTTCTTGCTCGGTAGGAGCCGTATTGCCTCTCCAGTGACTGTTAATATATTCCCTAAAAAAACAAGACACACAAGGGGGTTTGATCAATAGGTGCAGGATAGTGACGACGTATATAACAAGATGACTGAGAACTTACTTCTGATAAGGAATGCACTCATCAAGGTTCAACAACAAGTAGATCATGATACTGTGCCACTCATCATGGGTCAATGTCTTGTTGGTACCTGCGCCACCTCTTCCGAGATCCCCTTTGAAAAGGCTGAGGTTCGATGAGTTCTCGTCGGCGTTGTAACGAGGGGTTGGATTGTGCCGGCTGGGAAGTTTCTCAGTATAGTACGCCCGTGTGAACGTGGCCACCTCCTCCAGCACGAATGCCTCCGCCACGGAAGCCTCAATTTTGGCTTTATTTCTACACATTTTCCGAAGAAGCTTTAGACACCTCTCGATTGGATAGCACCAACGGCACTGCACGGGCCCCCCCAGCCGAGCCTCGCGAGGTAGGTGCAAAATCAGATGCTGCATCGATAGGAAGAAGCCGGGTGGAAATATCATCTCCAACTTGCATAGCAATAGAGGTGCAGCCTTCTCTAGTTCAAGACAGACATCCCGAGATAGCTGCTTGGCACAAAGCTGGCGGAAGAAAAAGCTCAACTCTGCCGGGGCCGCCACCACAGCTCGCTCGGGGGCGTATCCGGGTCATTGCGGAAGGAGCCGCTCAATCCATACGTGGAAGTCATGACTCTTCATCCCTAAGAGTTTCAAAGTCTCCAAGTTCACTCCCTATTCAGACTACACAAGATACCCATCGAGAACCGTCATCGTCTTCTCATCCACTTCAGAACTTCCTTCCTATCCGACCTTTTCAAGATATAATCGGTAGGGCCCTTTTCCATCTCTTGCACAGTTCAGGACTCTTCATCACTAGCTTTGGTCTATCACAAATCGTTTCAATGTCCAGTCTAGCCTTAACGTTGTCCTTTGACTTCTTACCAATCTCCATGAGTGTTCCCCAGAGTGCCTCTGCGACATTCTTTTCTCAGATGCATTACATCGATGCGATGTGGAAGAAGAAGGTCCTTGAAGTCTGATAGCCTATGCAAACCCGATATATGAGTCCACATGTGGTCAATACCATATCCAACAAAGCCACCGTTCTGTTCATCTATTTCGAGAGCCTCTATCTCCGTGAGGACATCGGCAGACTCTAACCTTAGGAATGGGGTCGGTGACTTGAACACCTTTTCGTGAAGTGCTTAACATCTCGTCTCAATTCATGGTTCTCTGGCGGGAATTGACGATGTTAGTCGAAAGAAGAGTACTTCCCACCCCTTCGCCACCCAGTGTGAACATCACATCTGCCTTGCATGTTGGGCAAGGAACTTCCGTGAACACACCACGCCTTCTAAATAAGCCATACGCCAAGAAGTCATGCATTGAATCTTTGGTACCGGACATGCATAGTGAAGTTCCTCTCTTTGTAGCTCGGTCATACGTCGGCACCCCTTTTTCCCAAGCATGTTTCAATTCATCCCACATGGCTCCATCAGGACACCCATATTGTTGCCCGGTGTCCGGGTATTATCGGCGTCAAGAACACGTGCCTAGGTTCAAACATGACGCTTGGGGAAGATTGAGGGGGATCACGAACACGGGCCAACAAGTGTACGGGGCCGCCATCATTCCAAACGGGTTGAACCCATCTGTTGCTAGTGCTACGCGTACATTCCGAGCTTCTAGAGCCTTCCCAGGATTCATGTTATCGAAGTGTCTCCATGCATCACCATCGGCTGGGTGCACCATCTTGTCAGTGTATCTTTTGCCATTCTTGTGCCACGTCATCTGTTTCGCGGTCTCCTCTGTCATGTACATCCGTTGTAGCCTAGGTATGAAAGGAAGGTGTCGTATGACCATCTCGGGTATCTTAGACTGATTTTTGTTGCCATCTTTGCCTTCTACCTCCACATACCTAGAGGCTTTGCACTTTGGACAGTGTGTTGCTTTCTCGTGGTCTCCCCTGAACAGTACGCACCCCTTCGGACAAGCTTGGATCCCCTCGTACGGCATCTTCAGTGCACGAAGGAGCCTCTGTGACTCGTACGTGTTCTTCGGCAGGATGTGATCCTTCGGAAGCAGTGTGCCAACAACTGTCAACACGAGATCGAAACCGTCTCGACTAATGCCCAGTTGTGATTTCAACGCTATTAGGCGTGAAATGGCATCCAGTTGCGTAACCGTTGTCTTCTCGTGGAGAGGCTTCTGTGCCGACTCCAGCATGGTGTAGAACGCCTTTGCGGTTTCCTCTGGATCATCCTCTACCTCCACTCCTTCGGCAAACCGTCCTTCGTGATAGTCTACCATCATATGCGCCATCCGGCATCGCATCACACTCCTCGAGGAGGATCTCACCACCTCCTCCCTAATACGATCGCGTTCACCATGGTAGATCCAGTGGGTATAGTTTGGAACGAACCCGTTCTTGTAAAGATCTTTCCACACACGCTCTTTTGTTTCTTTTTCTTGTTCTTGCACTTGCTTTGCACGGACACCGCATCCGACATGACCCTCTAGCAATTGCGCCAAAAGCAAGCTCTAGGAAAGCATTGACACCCTCACCCGATCCACCGCTCTTACTTGCAAAGCCCGTGTACATCCACCGGCGGTCGACCATCCTCTGTCATGCGCCAATGTAAGCGAGAAATAAAACCAGCATTTGCATCTACAAAGCGTTCCACGCCATCTAATAGGTGAAGGATAGGTCCTAATCCCACCGAGGATGCGTAGATAAGGTTAGGTTCCATGTTACTTGCTCCGTCCGGAGTCAAAATTTGGCGGCACCTCCCGTTGTTCTCCCGGATACCGTCCTTTTCGGAGAGTGTATCCGAAGAACAACGGGAGGTGGTGCTGAAACTCCATTTCGGACAGGAGCGGAACATGGAACCTAACCTTATCTACGCATTCTCGGGCTGTCCAAAAAACGTGGACAATCCGAAACAGATACCGTCGCAGATATGCAGTGATCCGCATACCTCGAACCATATCTCTGTTTGAGCGGAGACGCTTAAGCGGGGTACCACGATCGATCTCACGGCAATGATACGAGAGAGAGTATGTGTATACCTAGGGTGGCGAAGGAGTCGAACTAAGCGGGGCGATGGCGAGTCATTTGCGATGGCGGCGACGACGCGGTGCAAAGGCTTCACCGGCTTTTGGACGGAACAGTATTGCTCAACCTATCAAAGCATTTATTTAGACGAGTGAATAAAATGAAGTATTGCTAGTAAATTAAGAAGCGGTGATTAGTTATGAGGAGCTCCAATAGAGAGTCGGCCCAAGCCTGAAATCACATGGTAGTGTTTGGGATTACTGCATTCGAACCATGGCACATGCATGTTTAGTTGTCCCTATGGATCAGCTCTCCAAGATCCACTTGTAATATTCATGACATAAAATTAGTATGTCTATATACACCATGAAATATATTTTTCTAGCATATTTATTCATTCATGACGGCTGGTCAAACTTATAAACTCTGGAGCCTAACCATTCTAGCGTGGGTGACCTACCAGGCTCGGCACAGGCTTTCACGGATATAGATAGATAGGTCAAGTATGAACAAGTGGCGATATGATAGAGTATAAGCAACAAATATGAAATGAAAGCAGAGGTCTTGTCGACGTAGAGAATGGCGTCGACTGGGTTCCGAACTTAGACCTTGGGGCGGTGATTGACTACGGCTTCAGCGGAGGTCGTCGAGGACAGTCCTGGGCAACCCCCGGCTAGCTGTAGATGTGCACCGGCCATTGCGACTTGTTCTTGCGGCCTCTCTGGCCGGCCAGTGTTCATTCTTTGGTATTGGCTTGACCTCTCTCGGCCAGTTGTGGCTCTTTGCTGACTACTTACTACTGTTGGTTGTGGCCATTACTGATTTTCTGCCGGTGGCGGTGGTGTCGATGGCCAGTGGGTGGTGCAGCTGGCCGGAGGCGCTTCTGCAGTGGCCGGGGCTGGTCGGAAGAGCCGACGGCGTTCTGCAGTGTAGACCTACCCAGCGGAGCCGAGAGGTGGAGAGAAGCGGTGGTAGGGTGGGAATGGAGTGGCCCATGGCCGGCGGTGGGTGTGGGCGTGGGGGGCACTGGCGGGGGCAAGGGGCAGGGGCGAGCCGGGGCGGGCTGGCGGGCGGGGGATGGCGGCAAGGGCGAGGGGCACTGGTGGCTCTTGGCCCCAGGGTGGCCAGTGGCCACGGCCGGACGATCAGGATCTGGCCGGCGGTGGGGGCCAGGAGTGGAGGGGCCTTGAGCTTGCAGCATGACGGGAGAGGGAGCAGCAAGGGGGTATGTGCAGGGGGGCGGCCCGTGGCCTTGTGGGAGGGGCGGGGAGAGACTGGCCACGGCGAGGGTCAGGCATGGCCAGGGGGGGGCGGGAGGGAGGGGTCGGAGGAGCATGGTCGGAGGCATGGCCCAGGTGAGGGGCATGGCCGGGGGCAGCCAGGGCCGTGTCGTGGCCGTGGCCGTGGCAATGGCAACGTGGGCGGCATGAGCAGTGGTGGCAGTGGGTGGGAGGGGGCGAGCGGCGGCGGCTCAGGTGAGGCGACATGATGGCCATGGCCGGGGCGCCAAGGGCCCAGTGCAGTGGGTAGGCGGCAGGCCAAGCGCGGGCAGGTGAGGTTCAGTGGGTGGCCGGAGGGTGGTCGTGGAATGGAGGAGGTGGCGGGCGGAAGTGCCATGTGGCGAGAGGCGGCAGCAGTGAAGAAGCTGGCTGGTGCGTGGTGGTCTGTGTGTGTGAGGGATTGGGAGGAAGAGGAGGGATAAAGTATTGGTGGTGGGCCGACTTGGGCTTTAGGGTTGGCTCTTTGCCGATAGCAGGACAGTGATGGCGATCGGCAAAGGCAGCTCTTCTTGCATTGCTAGGTCGACAAGCGATCAGCAAAGTCTTCTTTCTCAAGCTGACCGCCACAAGCGATCGACAAGTTTTTCTTTTTTGGTTGTTTTCCTATCTAATATTTTTTGTACGTTCTTCCAACATTAAATCGTCACAAATTCAAAAGTTGGAGAATTTTTAGTTTTTTATATATTTCGTGAATTTATTTCATTTTCATGAATTTTTTCGCGTAATTCAATTTTGAATTGTAGGTGCATGAAAAAAAAACGAAACATGGGCATTCGAAAATGATATTCATGTTGGACAATGTATTTTGAAATTGTATGTGCATAAACTCACCGAAAAGTTTGAAGTCCTTGCTTACAAAATAAGAACATCTCGACAGCGGGTACAAGTACAAACAGTTCACGAAAACTTTTAAATTATATAAAATCCAAACAAGCAAGTTTGAAAAATCCCACGAAACTTGATGTGTCCTCTTGTCACATGTGGAGATCTCATGTTTGAACACTCACCGATAAAACTTGCTCCAAATTTGGAGCAAGTTTGATCGTAGCCTTCTAATGTGTTAACACGACACATCCACAAGTTTTGTGATTTTTTTCGATGTTGTCCTCTTATCACAATTTAAAACATCTGCAGGTTTGAACACTCTTATTCTGTGAGCAAGGACTTCAAGTTTTTCGGTGAGTTTATGCACACAGCCTCAAAATATGCTCTCTAACATGAATATCATCTTTCGAATCACTAAGTTTCGTTATTTCATGCACCTGCAGTTCAAATTTGAATTACGCGGGAAAATTCATGAAAATGAAATAAATTCACGAAATATAGCGAAAACTTTCAAAAATCCTCCAAATTTCAACATAGACTTGTAAACAATATAGTAAGGTCACACAAAAAGTCTTAATTCAAAATTCAAAAAAAAAATAAAAATTTTGCCGACAGCATGTCCTGGCTGTCGGCAAAGGGCTGCCTTTGCCGACAGCCTGACGGTTGGGCTGTCGGCAAAGCCGACGGCGTCTGTCACCGTTACCCCAGGACGCGATTTGCCGACTGAGGTTCTTTGCCGACCGGCTGGCTGTCGGCAAAGCGACTTCTTTGCCGACCGCAGTCTATCGGCAGTCGGCAAAGCCGGCTATGCCGACTGCCTTTGGTGGCTGTCGGCAAAGAGGGTCTTTGCCGACAGGGATATTCCATCCTGTCGGCAAAGCCCAGGGCTGTCGGCAAAGCCCCGTTTTCCTGTAGTGAGCATATCCAGAAGAGCACGAGACAACAAGCAGTAAAGGTCCAAAACATTGTGCTTAAATTTTGGTCTGGTCCGGCCTCTACATAATGAACTCGACATCATGGGAGACCACCATCTCCAGCCAAAACAGTAATAAACACTTAAAAACACCACGAAATTGTACCGAAATAAGGAAATCAACAAGTTTAGCTGCAATGCACGCAGCCCTGCTAACCATATCAATCATGGCAGCATATGAAAACGAAAATTAACTCACGAAAACAAATTAAAACTAGTTTAACTTTACTCGATCTCTCTGATCGGCACTCACTAACACCGTTCCATGCATGCGAAAGCTAGCTTTCACGTGCATGATCTTCAGTTTATTATTGTTGTTCATTCCTGGCCTGATCCATCACATGTACCATCTCATCTGGGTCGGATCCAGGGCGGCGCCCATGTGGAAGCTAGCCGCCGGCGCCATCGCGTCGTCCCTGCCGACGCCGAGGAAGTCTCTTGTGCTCAGACGACTGTCGTCGTCCACGCCCGCCAATCCTGCAGTGCCGGAGAAGCCGCTGGTGCCGGAGCCTCCCGTTGACGGTAGAGAGTTCATGATGAGATCATGGAAGTGTGCCTCGTGAGCAGACTGCTCGTGAGACATCCCTTCTTCTGCTGCCCTGCTAGTCCCCTGGCCGCTGACAACGGTGCCGGTGAAGCCGGCTGCACGGAACAGCGCGCTGGGGCGGTGCGGGTGGTGCTCGACGTCGAGCCCATCTGAGCCGCCTTCATCAGGAGCGCCGTCGCCGAGGCCCGGCCAATGGAGATGGAGATGAGTTGTACTGCAGGGAAGGGAAGCCACCGCCGACGAAGTGGCTTCCGATGGACGCCATCACGTTACTATGCTCGGTGTTGCCGCCGCCGGCTTTCCGCCGTTGAATTGATCTTGGATGACAAGGCGCGAGACCTGCTGGTTGCTGCCGGACCAGCCACCGCTGGTGCCAGAGAAGAAGCCAGGGAGGTTGATGTTGGCGTTGCTGCTGCCTGGCTGGTGGTGCTGCTGCTGCTCCGGGAGTTGCATCATGTCGCTGGCCATGGAAGGGCTCCTTGCCGTGGAGAAGAGGACCCTGGCATCCTTCGGCGTGATCACCGCCGTCCTCAGAGAAGTATTGGTTGGTATTAGCAGGAGCGCCGCCGCCGAGGAAGAAAGACAACGAGAAGTCTGACGGCGCCTGAGAACGGAACATGCTGGAGGAGCCTGAGTACGATGCCATGACGTGGTCAAACAGCGAGGCTTCTGCTGCTGAAGAGGACTGGCCTTGATCTGCGAAGCCATTCATGTGGGCGGCGGCGCCGAGAGCCCGAGGCCTGGCTATCGCTGCCTGAGTCGACGTAGAGGCCGGCGCCCGGCAGCAGCATCTGGCGGTCTCACGATCTGCTGCCAGTGCTGCCTCGCACATAGCGCGGTGGGTGACGAAGCTGTCCTTCCTGCATGCGTGTACGTGGATGGAAGAGTCAAAACAAAAATTCTAAGTATCAAAAAAATAAAATAAAACTCAAAATCTAGAGATACCACAACAGTATATACATATAAGGTACAGCTTGAAATTACCAACAGTTGTGATGATAACAAAATTATTAGGACGTTAGGAAATATTATGCACGTCGTTTATGAATAAATAATAGAACATAACAATCAATATAAACTCAAATGCCAAGGTAGACTCGTTCAAATCAAAATTAGTAGATGTTGTTTTAGGCTGTTGTTGGTCTGGGCTTACAAAAATATACCTGCTGTTTTTTCTGTAGGCGAAAGTGGTAACATTGCGTGGTTCACAAAAAAATAGAGACCATGTTAATGGCTAATAATGTATATAGTTGGCAGTGAGAATTATATATTAGGTGTACAGTTATATGGGAAATCATTCAAAAAAGCCAAAAAGGACTCTGAATTCCATATGCAAGATGCTAAGATAACAAGTGGTTCTTCATGGCTTCACACTAAAGAGTGTGGGAAACATTACATGGTACGTAAGACAAAAAAAACATATCGTTTATGGTAAGATATGGCCAAACCTTAAAAACTATGAACTTCAATACCTATTACTACTCCGTATTACGTTATTTAGTTTGGAAGCACATAAGCTACACATGTATATATAATAATGCACTCAGGCCGTATGACTGAGCCAACCTAACTCCTCCGTAGCCAAAACCAACTAATAAGTAACATAAGTAATAACAACCCCTACCAGAGTTAATTCCCGCCAACTCAACCAACTTGGTTTCAACTGAGTTCTGACTAGTTTGAACCTTGTCTGGTTCTAAGTTCTAACTGGTTATAAATGGGTGTAGTTGGAACTGGATTGCTGCTGGTTTAGATTTAACTGGATTTTAAGTGGTTGAAACTGTGTTCTGACGTGTTTGAACTGGGTCTGGTTGAAATAGGATCTGGTTTCGACTATGTTAGGTCTGATTAACTGCTGCTGGTTGGACTAGTTCTAGTTTTTGCTGATTCCAATTGTGTTTGGACTGGTTGGAACTATACATGTTTTATAAAATTTCAAAAATATATATATAGCCCATATGGATCTCATTTTGAGCAGCACATTTTTTTTCTGACAACATGCTTCAAACAGATTTGAAATCTGATATACGGTGATGAGAACTCTGTATTAATTATTTTCTATTCAAATCATGGAAAGTTTCTCTCTGCATGCAAGCTACTAGTGGGAATTGTTGACTTGGGCACGTTCTAGTTGGATTGCTCAATTAATATGTTGATTTTTTTTTATATGTTGCATGAAGTAGGGTGGGCGGGCGTGTTTTAGCCTTATATATCATGCATATTTGTATTTAAGCGACTTGCAAAATCTCTTGAATCTGAAGGATTTTAAGAATATCTTATAAAATAAGTGTCAAAGATACGCATTGAAGAGTGCAAATCAACTGTGGTAAATATTTTTGACCCGAGTAGTATTAGTAACTAGCAATTTATTAGCATAAGATTTTTATATTAATTAAAGATTTCATACAAAATCTTGAGTGAGAAAAAAAATAAGCTACTCAATATTAAACCAATAACATCTAGCCGATCATTATCCTCCCTTTCTTTCTAGAAGGAAGTCTACTTATTTATTGAGTGGAAATTCTACAAGTGGCAGGAAGCTAGTACTTATTTATGGAGCAGAAAATCTACAAGTGTCAGGAAGCTACTACATTAATTAGTGAATCGAATGCTATCTGTTCTTAAATGTACTGAATAGAGTAATAACTACTGGTGCAATGTTGGAGACATAATGAGCGCAGACCCTTGCAAACGTAACATTTTACTGAGTACAAACTGTACTAGCTAGGCCCTGCAAACCAACTGCATGCTTGAATTTCACAGAAAAGAAACAAGAAATCAGCCCAAGTTTTTTCCTGATAACGTAGAACGAGCGTAAATCCTTCTCTTAATTAAACCTATATCCCTATATATCTCCAGCAGCCCTCGCGTGCAGGAATCCTAGACGAGCAAGCTACACACATCACACCATCTTATATAGGGTGTTTGCGACGAGGAATTCCTCTATTATAAATGAGGTGGTGCATTAAGAGTCTATTTATCAAATTTTGTGGAATATGACTTTTTTTCTCGTAGCAGTACTAATCATTAGCATGCCAGGAATGAGGTGCTTTCATTTTATAAACCAAACAAAAATGTGAGTAAAAAAATCATGAACTCTCCAATACTCATTCCTCAAACCAAACACCATATTACTTAATGCTTGTTTGGCATAGCTTCACCACCAGCTTCATGAGCCGTTTGAAGCTGTTTTTTTACTAAACGGGCTTTTGCAAACAACTTCACCGATGGAGCTCCTTAAATTATGGTCTCACATAGAAATGAGATGGGATGAAGCTGAAATAGTAGCTTTTCACAACTTCACCTCACACTTATCGGCCCTGTGTGGGATTCCGTGAGAGCATGTTTTAAGGAAACCTACATCTTGAGTCATTTTACCAAACAGCTCATCAAACAGCTTTGGCTTTGCCAGAAAGCTGCTCGTAGAGCTAAAACCAAAAAAATCGGTTCTCACTAGTGAAGTTGAGTTGTTCTAAAGGAGACCTTAGTATTGACAACCCAAACTCTAAAGCATCACATCACCTCTCATCAACGGATCCATCGTGACACAATCATGGAAAAGAGGCCATAAAAAAGAAATAGAGTAAGCAACGGCAAACAAGCTAGAATCCAGGCAGAGACGTGTGTACGTGCACAAGTGAGGCAGGAGGAATCACTGCAAACAGTTGGCTGACTAGGCCAATGGTCAGGGGCAAACCCACGGTTTTTGCGTAAAAAAAAAATGCACCCATGCCAAATTATCAAACCAATGGCCATAATTAAAATTTCACCATACATGCGTCCCTATGAAAAAAAAGGGTCTGTGCACCCACCCCTTCTATTTGTCCTAACTTCGCCACTATCGATGATTGGGAATAGATCGGAGGAACGGACCTGGAGAAGGGGGCGTTGCATTCGCAGCGATACTCGCGGGTGCCGCAGGTCTTGCAGTGCGCCTTCCAGTCGGACTCCACGGCATAGCGCTTGTTGCACTTGTCGCACTTCAAGTTCTTCTCACCGTGCTTGCGGCAGTAGTGCTTCTTGATCCCCGTGAGGTCGCCCAGTGCCCGAGATGGGTTGTGGTGCACACATGTTGGCTCTGGGCACAGGTACACCCGACGACGCGGCTCCTTGGGGTTCTTTTGCTTCAGCTTCCATGGCATGTTGTGGCCGCGTAGGTGCAGCTGCAGGTTTTGGTCCCGCTGGAAACCCTTGTGGCACACCTCGCACACGAACCGGTTCGTTGCCATTAGTGTCTGCGGTGATAGCGCAACCACCTCCGCATCAGGTCCTGTGCACATATGTATCAAATGGTCCATCATCGATCAGACCATAAAAGAAATCTTCTGATTGTTCAATGAATATAACAAGACATCTTTTATCAATTTGGTGATGGATGAAGGTTTAATTCACGGTGACGGGGTGGCACGATGCATCAGGATATTTAGGCTGGAGCAGGAGGAAGGTTTAATTTACGGTGACGCTGAGCTTAAAAAATATATCACCACTTACTATAAAAAATTATTCGGGCCATCTGATCATAATAATTTGGTGATGGATGAGGCATACCGTGATGACATCCCTCAAGTTACAGCCGAGGAAAATGATCTCCTGGTTGCTAAGTTTAGGGAGGAGGAGATTAGAGGTGCAATTTTCCAAATGAACCATAATACGGCTCCAGGTCCTGATAGCTTTCCTCCAGAGTTTTATCAGGTATTCTGGAATGTAATTAAGGATGATATGATGGCTTTGTTCACAGATTTCCATAAGGGAGAATTGCCTCTACATAGCCTAAACTTCAGAACGATCATTTTAATACCAAAGTCTAAAGAAGCTAAACAAATACAACAATATAGACCTATCTGTTTGTTAAATGTTAGCTTCAAGATTTTTACTAAAGTGGCTACTAACCGAATTGTAAAGATAGCTCAACGCATAATTAAACCATCACAAATAGCATTCCCGCCTGGGAGAAATATAATGGAGGCATGATTATTTTACATGAAACCTTACCATGAGTTACATAAAAAGGAAACAAAATGGAATTATCTTTAAGATTGATTTTGAAAAGACATATGATAAGGTGAATTGGAATTTCTTACAACAAGCACTAAGAATGAAGGGGTTTCATCCGCTGTGGTGTGATTGGGTCAAAGTTTTGTTCAAGGTGGAATGGGCACTAAAGTTAATGACCAAATGGGCTCATATTTCCGGACCAAGAAAGGTCTTAGGACAAGGTGATCCTCTCACACCGATCCTTTTCAATATTGTTGTAGATATGCTACTATCATTTTATCTAGAGCCAGGAGGAAGGCCAAATAAAGGGGTTGTTACACCTAGTGGAAAATGGCATGTCTATCTTGCAATATGCAGATGACACGGTTCTATTTTTCGACCATGATATTGAACAGCAAAAAATTTGAAACTTTTGCTTGGTACTTTTTGAACAATTATCAGTTTTGAAATCAACTTCCATAAAAGTGAATTATTTTGCTTTGGCCAAGCAAAAGAATTTGAGGAGCAATACTCATATCTATTTGGTTGCAAAATGGGATCATACCTTTTCGATATTTGGGCCTTCCTGCATTACAGGAAGTTATATAATAAGGATTGGAAATTAATTGAAGAAAGAATTAAAAGAAGTTAAGTGGGTGGAAAGGAAAACATTTATCATATGGGGGTAGATTAGTGTTAATCAATTCTTTTTGTCAAGCTTACCTATGTTCATGATGTCTTTCTTTGAAGTCCCGGAGGTGTTCTAAAAAAGATTGAATATTTTAAATCAAGGTTTTGGCAAATGAATGAGCACAAAAAAAGGAAATATAGACTCCGGCAAAGTGGAATATTTTGTGCCAACCAAAAGAGCTAGGTGGTTTAGGAATTCAAAATCTAGATTTACAAAATAAGTGTCTTTTAAGCAAATGGCTTTTCAAACTTTTGCATCGAGGAGGGCAGATTGGCTAAGGAGTTAATAAGGAACAAGTACCTAAAGAACAAGACTCTTAGTCAAATTGAAAAAGGAAAATGGATTTTCTAATTTTGGAGATGGTTTCTTTGAGTCAAAGACATTTTCTTAAGTCTTGGGAAGTTTAAACTGAACAATGGAACTCAAATTAGATTTTAGGAAGATAAATGGTTGGGCTCCCAAGCCTTAGAAAATCCAATATCCAAATTTATTTAATATAATGTGGAGAAACAAGCAGCAGTGGTTGATGTACTTAATTCCACCCTCTCAATGTGTCTTTTAGAAGGGCACTAGTTGGGGAACAAGCTGTTGGAATGGTAAAATCTAGTTGCAAGAGTTGCTTTTTATTAACTTAAATGAGGGTCAGGATACTTTCATCTGAACTTAAATAGTAATGGCTTGTTTTTCATTACATCAATGTACAAATATCTAGTCAATAACGGGATTAAGGTTACCCAGAAAATTTGGCATATGAAAGTGCCCCTGAAGATTAAGATTTTTCTTTGGTTCTTAAAGAATGGGGTGATCCTAACAAAAGACAATCTTGCTAGAAGGAATTGGAATGGTAGTAAGGCTTGTTGTTTTTGTAGCACACCTAAAACTATCCGACACTTGTTTTTTGATTGCCATTATGCCGCTTTTCTTTGTGCGTATTGTGTTTGTTTTGTTTGGCATTAATCCTCCAAAGAACACGAACCATCTTTTCAATAGTTGGTCTAAGCTAGGAGAGGTTCCAACCATAATCATCTTTTATTGACTGGGCTAAATGCGCTTTTTTCTCGGGCAATATGGATCACAAGAGAATCTATGTGGTTTTGATAAAGGTCACCCAAAAAACTTTTTTGCGAGGTTTCTTTTGGGGGAACATCACAGTTCCAGTTTTGAGCTCTATTGGCAAATACGCTGATGATGGCAAGGAATGGATTCTTGACGCTTACAAGCTACTACTAGAATCGAGAGCCATGGAGTTCTTCACTGATCGCATGGATGGTCTTTCATTTACCGCCTTGGACTTTAGTTTTGAACATGTAATAAAAGTTTTAATTATGGATGTACCGTAATAAGTTTGGACTGATGCTTCTTCATTTTAGGAAGAAGATCTGGAGTCGGAAATTTTCCATTATCTAAAAATTCTTTTATCAATCATGTCATTCTACAAGTGGTAGCTAGGATTAGGGACTTACTTGGATTGCCCGGCCGACCTCTTCTTCTTGGACGACGCTACATCACCGGGAGCAATCGTGGAGTTTGCTTCGCAGAGAGAGTCCCTGGGCTCCATTTGCATCTCACCGATCCTAAAGAAGAGGTGCAGATGAGGAGGTTGCCAAGCGAAGAAAAATATAGATCGTCACACCAGTCCTGTACACCTCCCAAGCCTCCTTGACCTTTTGCTCATGAAATAGGGCTGTATGATCAAGCGACTACCTCCTCATGCTTGGACTCTACTCTATGTGACTGACGACCAATCCGCAAGTCATAGAGTAGCTTACATGGCAGTATTACTTTATATATCTATTTTCCTTGATCTCCGATGTCTTCTAAAGAGATCTCATCTAGAAGACAAAGAGGATGAAGAGAATAAAAATAGAAAGAGAGTTTGTGTAAAGAAAGAGATATAAGTATGACAAACATTGTTCTAGCATTATGTTGAAAGAATTGATCGATAGAACAGTTTGCACAATGACACAAGAAACCAAAGAAGTCCCTCATGACCTATGCACCTAACAAAGCAAGGGCGATGATAAAACAGTTTGCACGACACGCATACGCAAAAAATCCAAGAAATCTATAATTGCCCAAACTCAAAAGAAGCGGTCGAAGAGAATGGACCTGTGATGGAGGAAACATATATACGAGAGAGAGAGAGAGAGAGAGAGATCAAGGAAAAAAGAACTATGTACTTGGAATCAGGAGAAGATGGTTCTTTGCAACAAACACTTGAAAAGCAACAAGAGAATCGCACAACATGAAGATTGTTAAATAGCACAACATGATGATGAACATCGAAGACTTTATAAATTCCATAAGAGG